GTGCGAATCGCCAGCCCGGCCCGGCCTGTTCCTGCTCCTCGCACCAAGCCAGTGGTGCGCGTCGCCAGCCCGGCCCGGCCTGTTCCTGCTCCTCGCACCAAACCAGTGGTGCATGTGCCTAGTCCGGTTCGGCCCGTGCCTGCTCCTCGCACCAGACCAGTGGTGAGTGTGTCCAGTCCGGCACGGCCCGTGCCCGTTCCACCGCGGTGCCTGATCCAGCTCCGGTCAGCTGCTCCACACCGGAGCCAGAGCAGTCCACTCCACCGGGGTCTAGTCCAGTTCCGGTCAGCGGCTCCACTCCGGAGCCAGAGTAGTCCGCTCCACCGGTGCCTGATCCAGCTCCGGTCAGCGGCTCCACTCCGGAACCAGAGCAGTCCGCTCCACCGGGGTTCAGTCCAGATCCGGTCAGCGGCTCCACTCCGGAGCCAGAGCAGTCCGCTCCACCTGTGCCAAGTCCAGCTCCGGTCAGCGGCTCCAGTCCAGACCCAGACGTCAGCCCCTCTCCAGGTTCGGGGTCTCCCACACCAGGGTCCAGACAGGGCTTGGAGTATAGTGGGAGGAAGGAGAGGGGAAGCAGCGCGCCGAGGTCCAGACCAGATCAGGGGCGCAACAGGGAGGCGGAGAATAGGTGGTTGTCACGCCCGGAGCCGGATCCGCCTCAGAGGCGGAATGCCCACCCGGCCCCTACCCTGTTAAGTAAAGGTTGTGCGGTCGGAGTCCGCACCTTTGGGGGGGGGGGTACTGTCACGCCCTGACTCTGGGGACTCTTATTTGTTGAGTCAGGGTGTGATTTTCTATGTGGTGTAGATCTATGTTTATAGTCTAGTATGTCTAGATCTATGTTGGCCGGTGTGGTTCCCAATCAAAGGCAGCTGTCGCTCGTTGTCTCTGATTGGGGACCATACTTAGGCAGCCTATTGGCACTAGTGGGTTGTGGGATCTTGTTCCGTGTGAGGTATGTTGTTTGTGTCTACCTTGGACTTCACGTGTCGTTTCGTTTATTGTTTTGTCGAGTGTTTATTAAGTTTAAATACATTTTACTTTTACATTTTAGTCATTTAGCAGACGCTCTTATCCAGAGCGACTTACAGTTAGTGCATACATAATTTTTTATACCCCCCGTGGGAAGCGAACCCACAACCCTGGCGTTGCAAACGCCATGCTCTACCAACTGAGCTACATCCCCGCCGGCCATTCCCTCCCCTACCCTGGACGACGCTGGGCCAATTGTGCGCCGCCCCATGGGTCTCCCGGTCGCGGCCAGCTACGACAGACCAAACATGTATGCATATCACGCTGCGCCTTGGTCTGACCCGTCTATGAACGAACGTGACAGTCTTACTCACGTCAGCCACGGAGATCGGGAGCACACAGTACTCGTGAGCGGCGAGGGCCCACGTCGGCGGCTCTGTGTTGTTTCCCTCAAAGCGGGCAAAGGTGTTTAGCTTTTCCGCGACGTGGCTGCCTTTCCCTTTATAATCTGTGATTGTCTGGAGTCTCTGCCACATGAGTCTTGTGTCTGAGCCGTTGAATTACGACTCCACTTTGTCCCTGTACTGTCATAGCTGGTCTATTTGCACAAGTCCATGTTCCCAGTCACCTTGCCGTGGTTAAATGCGGTGGTTCACACTTTCAGTTTTGCACGAATGCTGCCATCTTCCCACGTTTTTTGGTTTGGATAAGTTCTAATCGTCACAGTAGGAACAACATCCTCTATGCACTTCCTGATGAACTCAGTCACTGAGTCAGTGTTCACGTTGATACTATTCCCAGAGGCGACCCGCAGCAATTCCTAATCCGTGTGATCAAAACAGTCTTGAATCATAGATTCTGATTGGTCAGACCAAAGTTGAACAGTCCTTACCACGGGTGCTTCCTGCTTAAGTTTCTGCCTATAGGTGGGGAGGAGCAGGATGGAGATGTGATCTGATTTGCAGAAGGGAGGGCGGGGGAGGGCCTTGTAGCCGTCCAGGAAGGGAGAGTAACAATGGTTAAGCGTGTTCTCTCAATGTGTAGCACAGGAATTTTGGGAGTGTTTTCCTCATATTTCCTATATTAAAGTCCCCAGCTACAATAAATGCGGCCTCAGGATATCCAGTTTGCACAAAGTCAAGTGTACGGAGAACCCCGCTGTCTGTATGGACAGGGACAATATATCCGGAGTCATGAAAACTGAGTATGTTACAGTCCCTTATGTCTCTCTGAAAGGAGATCCTTGATCTGAGCTCGTCTACTTTATTGTCCAGGGACTGAACGTGCAGTGGACGGTTTGCTCGCCGCCTGAGCCTGACTAGAACCCCACTTCTCTGGTGTCAACGTTTTGGTTTAGCACCCGGGATGAATGGGCTGCCTCAGGAAGTCCAAAAATAGGATCCAGGGAACTCAAATTTCTTGTCTAATTTCTAAATTATTTTTAGCTCTAGGTAATAATACTAGAAATGTTCTGAGCAAATAATGTAAGAAATAACAAAATACTGCAAAGTTGGCTAGGAGCTAGAAACAGGCGACCGTGTCTGTTGATGCCATCTTGTCGATAACAAGAAAAGATGTCAAATTAATTGAATATGGGGTAGGTCAGACTTAATATTGCAGATAGATTCTGCCTTCCATCAATGGAATTGTCTGCATCATTTCCAGTCCCCCACATATTTTTTTGTAAATATATACAGTACCAGTCAAAGGTTTGGACACACCTACTCATTCAAAGGTTTTTCTTTATTTTTACTATTTTCTACATTGTAGAATAATAGTTACGACATCAAAACTATGAAATAACACATATGGAATCATGTAGTAACCAAAAAAGTGTTATACAAATCAAAATATATTTTATATTTGAGATTCTTCAAAGTAGCCACCCTTTGCCTTGATGACAGCTTTGCACACTCTTGGCAGTCTCTCAACCAGCTTCACCTGTAATGCTTTTCCAACAGCCTTGAAGGAGTTTCCACATATGCTGAGCACTTGTTGGCTGCTTTTCCTTCACTCTGCGGTCCAACTCATCCAAACCATCTCAATTGGGTTGAGGTTGGGTGATTGTGGAGGCCAGATCATCTGATGGAGCACTCAATCACTCTCCTTCTTGGTTAAATAGCCCTTACACCGCCTGGAGGTGTTGGGTCATTGTCCTGTTGAAAAACAAATGATAGTCCCACTAAGCGCAAACCAGATGGGATGGCGTATAGCTGCAGAATGCTGTGGTAGCCATGCTTGTTAAGTGTGCCATGAATTCTAAATAAATCACAGACAGTGTCACCAGCAAAGCACCCCCACCGCATCACACCTCCTCCTCCATGCTTCACGGTGGGAACTACACATGTGTAGATCATCCGTTCACCTACCCTGCGTCTCACAAAGACACAGCGGTTGGAACCAAAAATCTCAAATTTGGACTCATCAGACCAAAGGACAGATTTCCACCAGTCTAATGTCCATTGCTTGTGTTTCTTGGCCCAAGCAAGTCTCTTCTTCTTATTGGTGTCCTTTAGTAGTGGTTTCTTTGCAGCAATTCGACCATGAAGGCCTGATTCACACAGTCTCCTCTGAACAGTTGATGTTGAGATGTGTCTATTACTTGAACTCTGTGAAGCATTTATTTGGGCTGCAATTTCTGAGGCTGGTAACTCTAATGAACTTATCCTCTGCAGCAGAGGTAACTCTGGGTCCTCCTTTCCTGTGGCGGTCCTCATGAGAGCCAGTTTCATCATAGCGCTTGATGGTTTTTGCGACTGCACTTGAAGAAACTTTCAAAGTTCTTGAAATTTTCCAGATTGACTGACCTTCATGTCTTAAAGTAATGATGGACTGTAGTTTCTCTTTGCTTATTTGAGCTGTTCTTGCCATAATATGGACTTGGTCTTTTACCAAATAGGGCTATCTTCTGTATACCACCCCTACCTTGTCACAACACAACTGATTGGCTCAAACGCATTAAGAAGGAAAGAAATTCTACACATTTTAACAAGGCACAGCTGTTAATTGAAATTAATTCCAGGTGACTACCTCATGAAGCTGGTTGAGAGAATGCCAAGAGTGTGCAAAGCTGTCATCAAGGCAAAGAAGGGTGGCTACTTTGAAGAATCTCAAATATAAAATATATTTTGATTTGTTTAACACTTTTTTTGTTACTACATGATTACATATGTATTATTTCATAGTTTTGATGTCTTCACTATTATTCTACAATGTAGAAAATAGTAAAAATAAAGAAAAATCCTGGAATGTATAAAATAAATATTTTTTAAATATATTTCCCCCTAACCCTACCATCCCTCCCCTAATTGGAGTAAACTCCACGTATCGGTTTGTACAAAAAATAAAAACATGTTTTATTTTTTTGCTAGGTAACGTTAGCTAGCGATAGTTGGTTGTACCTGCCAACTTAAATTTAAACTAAAAATTTCTCATGCACTCTCTAGTCTCTGCAGCAGACATATAGTGAGAAATATGTTTGGAACTTAAAATCTCAATAAAATCGCAGTATTGAATATATATAGAATTGTGAGAATCATAATACATATCGGCACCTAAGTATCGTGACAATATCGTATCGTGAGGTCCCTGACAATTCTCAGCCCTACTGAAATGCATCAGAAAGGTATTGGAAAGTTTAAGCTCGTCTACTCTATTGTCCAGGGACTGAACGTTAGAGAGTAATATACTCGGAAGCGGTGGATGATTTGCTCACTAAGGGAAGATGATCAGGTAATAATTGTGTGTGTAGAAAAGAAGGTCTGCATTGCTTTCAATTGCAGTTTTGTCACAGGCCTTTCCAATGGCCTTTGAGCGTTGTAGACACACGTTTCCTGTGAGTCTTAAGTATCAGGAATGGGGTCTTAATAGCTAATAGCTCCAACCCTTCAAAAGCTAGAGCCAAATTCGTAGGAAGAAACAGAAACCGCTTTTTGTCCAACCTTTTTTTATTTTGCCCACCCCTGGGTTAGGGCCATAGCTTTGGTTACCATTGGGAAGAGTCTATGGTAATCTGTTTACCAGGGTCCTTACCTGACAATCTTGCCCTGCTCCTGCAGCATCTTGACCAGCTCAGCAATGCAGTACTGGGCCTTGGCAGCACATAGACCATAACCTGCAGGACAAGAACACAACAGCCTGAGTGGAAAACACAATAGTCATTAAAAACAAGCAGAGAAAGCTTTCAAAAGAAAATGGTAACATTTGCTATGAAAACCTGTCAACTGCTGTCTGTATAAAAGTCAGAAAAATAGAGGGAACACAATAAAACTTCAGAACACAGTCTGCCTGGATTTTGACTGGCACATCTTAATCCAAGTCAAAAACTGACTACTACCTCTGAACAGTGATAAAAAATGCTTGTATAAATAGCAAAAATACTCAGACAATCCCAGAGATTCTTATCCAGACATTGATCTTCTGATGCTAAAAAAACAAACATTTGCATAAAGCCCTATCAAACGTGCTTCAAAAGAATCAAATCATCCTTATATAAACACATTTAACATTTAGGAAATTACCAATAAATTCTATTTCCTTAAATGTTATTTATCCGTGTTTGGTTTTGACACACCAGGTATTTGGGCACAGTGAAACTGATCAAACCTGAAAATTCTAACAAGAAAAATATTCAAACCAACATATCCCAGCAATAGGGAATTAAAGTTCAGGACCAGTGGATACCAAGTGGAACAGAGGATGTCTGAGGGCTTAGGCGTAAACAAGTCTACTAACCTAGTTTATCTGTATGTATTGTCTCAAATAGCAGAATATGGTTTTCATAATAATCCTACATACAAGTGGGAGCTCTTTCCTCTCATTTCAACAAGACTGGAGGTGAAATAATTGAGCTTGTTATTTTATAACACAATAAACAAACACTGTAAAATAAATAAAGTACATCAAGGCTGAAAAAAAATAATCAGTTGTGAAATGATTTCAATCCTTTTATCTGAAGCTGTCAAGTGGGAGCATGTCCGGGAATCTGGAGCAAATCAATGTTACTCTTGAAGCTAGAATCCTTAGTTGCTACATCCATTTTTTTTATGTATAAATTAATGATATATTGATTCTTGAAGAATATAACATAAATAACTCATGAGCTCAGTTCAACTGTCGTAACAGAATATAAGCTTGTTTTACCCAAATGTTTGTAAACAATGTAAATGTAAACAAACATTATATAGCCTCAAAACATGGTCAAAACTATAATTTTGATCTCATGGATGGCCAGTCCTTGCATCCATATCAATTTGAGAGTGGTTACATTTCTCCAGGCCCATCCCTCAGCTTTGTTATTGTTTCAATTAAGGATTCTAGCTTTAGTCCATGTCTTCCCCTTTTAAATGTATGATATACAGTGCCTTCAGAAAGTATTCACACCCCTTGAATTTTTCCACATTTTGTTGTGTTACAAAGTGGGATTAAAATGGATTTCATTTTTATTTTTCCATTCGATCTACACAAAATACTCTGTAACGTCAAAGTGGAAGAAAAACTCTAACATTTGTAAAGAAAAAAATAAATAATAATATATCTTGATTAGATAAGTATTCAACCCAGAGTCACCTTTGGTAGCGAGACATTTCAGCTTTTCATTTTAAATTAATCTGTAACATTTTCTAAAAACATAATTCCACTTTGACATTATGGGGTATTGTGTGTATGCCAGTGACACAAAATCTCAATTTAATCCATTTTAAATTCAGGCTGTAACACAACAAAATGTGGAAAAAGCCAAGTGGTTTGAATACTTTCTGAAGGCACTGTATATAGCTATTAATCTTTGAAGAATATAACTTATAAATGCCCCATGAGCTTTGTTCAACTGCAGAAAGTCAAATATAAGCTTGTTTTACTGCATTGTTTGTAAACAATGTAATTGTAAACAAACACTGTATCGCTTGAAAACATGGTTAAACTATCATTATGACCTCATGGATGGTCAGTCCTTGCATCCATAGCTCTGCCTATGAATTTGAGAGTGGTTACATTTCTCCTGCTCCATCCCTCAGCCATTTACCAAAACAAGTGGCGGGGTGGCGGTTTTGTTGTTTTTCCCAACTACAGATTTCCCCTTTAAGGATGATCTTATCAAAGTACTGACGGAAAATAATTACTTATTGCCCAAAAAAAGATATTGGGATTTTCTTACATGTACATTGATCAGCTGCAAGTGCACATGAATTGCTCCAGTACATGTGGTAGACAGGACATTTTTAACTCAAAAGACGAAGTAAGCCTTTGTTCACTCGTCTCCACCATTCCAAAGCCAACCTAGGCCTTTCAAACACAACAACGACCATCAACACTCATCTTTCATCTGCCTCGTGCAGAGTTGAGAAGCCTCTTACTGAAATGAGCACCATCCAAGAGAGAGAAACAATAATTCACAGCAAATGGACAATCTAAAGCCTCAATTGCTGTTTACAACGTTTGATAGGCCTGTCACAACAGCCGTCAAGTACTCTGCTTTAAACACAGCATGTTGCACTGAGCATATCTACGGTCCACACTCGCTCCTTAATGATTTTCATTTTCTTCATGCAGACCCTCAAACACAAGCTTTTCTCCTAACGAAAACAATCCCGTCCAGACAAGGCCAGTGTTTATCAAAAAAAGTCTTAAATGTTTCCACTGATGTCAATCAAGCAAAGTGACTGTGACTGGTCCAATTATAGGAAATGTGAAAAGGAAAACAAGACAGCTCCGGTTCCAGCCCCAGCTCGGGCCTGGTGTAGTGTGGTGCACTGCAGTCAGCAGGAGAATCTGGGACCCACTGACAACACAGAGAGCAACAGTGGAACAGTGCACCATAACACCAAGCTTAGAAGCTGAGGATCACCTTCCAGTCTGGCAGGACTACCTGGCACACAAACACCGGCTAATTTGGGTACATTTGGAGAAGATGCTTGAAAATAATATTTGGATACAAAAACAAGTCTGGGTTTGCAGTAGTCAGTGAGATAACTGTGTACTTTAGAAGTTCAGAACATCCTCCACAATAGATATAGTAACATCGTAACTCTCCCCCACTGTCTACAGGGGCCCATGGTGTAGATCCATGTTAGATAGATAGAGTCTAACTGTCTAATGTCTGGGTCCATGGCTGGGTCAGGACACCGTAGGGTTGAGCCCTGCTGGACGGCTGGAGGCTGGACTGCCAGCGGCGGTGTGTTTTAAATGAAGGAGCCATCTCTGTTGTGCTTGGCCCCGCATGCCTGTATACTCTGGAGTGCCACGTTAAATCATATTTTCTCCCCTTCTCTTTATTCATCTTCCCACATCTCATCGTCCCTCCATCTGTTCGTCCTGTCTGCCCGTAATGGTCCAGTTCTCTGTTGTAGTGAACAAAGTGGATGCAGACGCAGACAGAGGACAGACAGAGCCATAAGCTTTGCTGGAGGCCATTACACTTACCGGCCCAGGAGGTCAAGCCGAGCGACAGAGAACCAGGCTGTTTAGAAGAGCAGAGCCAGCCACTAGGTTGGGTCTGTGTCCCAAATGGCACCCTATCCCCATTTATTGTGCACTACTTTTGACCAGAGCCCTATGGATAATGCATATTAAAGCCTTTAAAAAAGAGCCTTCTTTTCTCTTCCTCCTTTACTTTCTCTGGAAGCAGCATATGGACCAGGACAGTCTGAGGCTGAACTATCAGTCCCTGCTGCCTGCCAGTGACTTCTCACTAAACAGTTCACTTCACCACTAGGTTGGAGAAGCAATGTGCAGAGAGCTGTCGTCAGGGGACGGGTTTTCAGACAGGGTGGGAGAGTGGAAAGACAGAGAGTGAGATTATACAGAGGTCTGTCAAAGCTTCAATAAACCCTACTCCCAAACACGACCCAGGCTCTTGGACCACCTCGGGATAGAGTGGGCCTGCATGCCTGACGGGCCCTACTTGAGAGGTGCCCTAACGAAGTTTAGCAAATTAACTGGTGATGTAACAAGGTCAACAGAGGTTAGCTAAACATAGAAAAAAGTTCTGTAATTTATGAAAAATGTTGATGGCAAAGGACCATGTTTTCTACTTTCTGCACAAGACCTTTGGCCACAACCCACTTACACTCTAGGTCTTAAAAACATTTGTCAGTTGAACCCTGTGTACGTGGGTGGTTTAGTTTAAATGAACCTACCCGGTCAGTACCCCGGTGTGTGGAAGTACCACTGTGTTCATGCTGTGTGTGTGTGTGTGTGTGTGGTGTTGGGTTTTGACTCTACCTGGAGTGATGAGGTTGTGGGCATCTTTGATCATTTCAACAGTCTGGTCCACATTGACCTCTGTGTGTGTTCCTACGATCTCCATGGGCTTGCCTGACCCAGTGGATGATGTACCGTACTCACCCAGGATCACGTTGGCCAGGGAACGGTTCATGGCCTAGCCAGGGGGAGAGAAGAGAGACGAGGGGGAGTACAGAGATGGATAGGATCAAAAGCTGCTCAGCCGTTTTAAGTCAACATTTTTCAGTGAAGCCAGTTTCTTTCAGGCAGTCAATGCAGCCAAGAAGGCATTTAAGTACAGTTAGAGTTCCTCCTAGTGGAGAATTGTGGAAGCACAGAAACTGCCTTGCATATTTTAGCATCTTCAAAGTTTACATGTAGGTTATGAGCTGATGCGGCCTATTTAACCCATACTGTCTGATGTGTGACACTTCCTAAATACGGACAGACGGAAGGACTATAGGCTCCATACCTTAATCATTCTATAGCCCTCAAACTCAACTCTGGAGCTCGAAGCCAGTTCCACTGCATTTTTTCATTGTTCCCCTCTAATCAGGGACTGATTTGAACCTGGGACACCAGGTGTGTGCAATTAATGATCAGGTTGAACAGAAAACTAGCAGGCTCCAGACATCATAGGGTAAGAGTTGAATACCCCTGTTCTATAGGACGTGTGACACTTCGTAAATACAGACCAATACTTACCGCACACATGATGTAGGAGAGAATGGCCCCTGAGGAGCCGATGAGGGCCCCTACGATGGTGAGCAGGTTGTTGAGCAGGAAGCCCTCAGCACACAGGGCCCAGCCGGAGTAGCTGTTGAGCACCGTGATGGCCACCGGCATGTCTGCACCGCCGATGGCTGCTGTCAGAGTCAGGCCCTAGAAGAACAAGACTACCGTTAGACTGAAGGTTGATATGTCCGTGGGATTAATAAAGCAAGACATACATTTCATTCATGTGTTGTTAAATTCAATATATTGTCCATACAAAAGAAGGTATACAAAGATCATGTGTCATATGTGAGTAGTAGGCCTGGCCTATATAAACTCACATGTAAGCATTGTCCCGAGTGGCGCAGTGGTCTAAGTGCCACTAGAGATCCTGGTTCGAATCCAGGCTCTGTCCAGGAGAATCACGGGGCGGCGCACAATTGGCCCAGCGTCGTCCAGGGTAGGGGAGGGAATGGCCGGCAGGGATGTAGCTCAGTTGGTAGAGCATGGCATTTGCAATGCCAGGGTTGTGGGTTCGATTCCCACGGGGGGCCAGTATGAAAAAAATACATAAATAAAAAGAATGTATGCACTCACTAACTGTAAGTCGCTCTGGATAAGAGCATCTGTTAAATGACTAAAATGTAAACACTTGGGCATAAACAGACCATTCATAAACAGTATTATTGAATGGTAAATAGAGAAATCTGATCAGGTAGTAGAAATATAGTGTATTTAACCCCTATCAGGATGCAGTGGGCCTCAGTCATTGCGTAAGGTGTTTGTCAAAACAAGGAGTATTCATTTCAAGTGCTCTCTATGATATCATCCTAATGTTACTCTCCAAGATACCCAACTCAGGGAATGGCTCTAACCAGAGCCAGCTACCTCACATTATGCAACGATACACTCCATCAAACAAACAGAGAGGGCAGGACTTGAACAATATCAGATCTCCTTTTAAAGACATTCATGCTCAGGCACAGGTGATTGTTTAGCTACACCTTATCAGTCAAGAGTGGTGTGATATTGTATACGTAAGAAATTAATATCCGTTGATTTATACAACGTCAAAATGTCCTTGTTATTGACAAACCACATGGAGGCCTGAGCAGCCAACATTCACAACAGTTTTAACCAGAACCACCTTCTCTCAGTACTGCTTCAAAACCTCATCTTAGTTTACCTTCCATCCATCATCTTATTATGGATTGATCATGTGGTTAATGCTTCCAATGAAAATTCTCCTTAAGGGCCAACAGTGGAGCAGGATCGTAAGCAGAGCGCTTTTTATTGAAGGATAGCTGAACTTAAACCTACCTAAAATGGGCTAGAGCACAGGATTCCAATGGCACAAACAGGTAAGTTCCATCCTATTTCTAAGAGTTAGTTCAAAGATCACTGGTCAGTCCAGGTTGGTGGATATTAGGGCCATAGATATAGAATTAGTAGAACAGGAAAAGACTCTCAAACCATAAAAATGGCACTGCACCCTCATAACTTCAAACATTGATTTGAATGTGGATGTCCGTCCCAGTAATTCTATTTCTTTGATTTGGGTAGAGGCGGTGTGTAGGTCGTACCATGACGGCCGAGAGAGCGGACATAGAGCCCAGGCAGGTGATGCCTGCGGTGTAGCTGGGGTCCAGCATGTAGGGGATCATCAGGCCCACACAGGAGGCCATCAGCCCAGCATTCATAGCATGGCGCCCAGGGAGCTGGAGTGGGGCGGAGCTCAGCACACCTAGAGAGAGGAGGAGAAAAACTGTAGGCATGGACATATAGAGCTAAATGCATGTTAGGATGTCACTATGTGCTGTCCATCTAATTTATTTTGTCCTCCATTTACAAGTATTCAGGCCCCAACCACTTTTGAGGAACAATCTGAAAGTGAGCATGTTATTTATTATCCAAGGATGTCACTATCACACATACTGTATGGATTAAAAAGGGAGTTGTACTTTTCTCCCTGAACTAACTCAATCCTTGGCAGGCAGGTAGAAAGATAGCAGAGAAAGTTACCGTTTCTAAATTGATTTTCATTTCAGAGACTGAAATGTGTTCATGAGGCTGCTTCATGCTAAATTGAAACCGAATACATGTTGATAATCAAATTAACAGAGCCAGCATCTGGATTCCACCACCTGTGATATGGGACGCATTGTAACATTTCCTTGACTTTTTTCCTCATTTTGAAAGCCTTCCAAAACAAACCCACAACTGAAAAAAAAGAAAAAAAGAAAAGAAAGCATGAAATGTGCATTTTGGGGAAAATGTAGGTTTTAATCTTTTATCGGAGCAGGTTTTCCAGGTTCCAGTGGGACTGTGGAGTGGGAACGCTCCCTGGGATAATGTGTTCCAGCTTTCGGGAACAAGTGGAAAATGACTGGGGGCGGAGGGGCTAATTAGTGCCAAACTGGGAGAGGTTCCGCCTGGCCTAGCTGGGAGCAGGGGGGCCTGGGTGGCACGGCTGGGACAGGGGACTGAGAGGAGGGGTGCAGAGTCGGGTACAGATGCTCAGGCATCAACCTGAAGGACCCAGACCACTACTGGTCTACTACTGACCAGAGGGTTACTTGATCAAACCCAAGCTGTCTAAGTTAAGTGTCCATTAGCAGAAAATTCCTGAAAACGCAGTAAAATCTATGTGTGTAATCTATACACTACATGACCAAAAGTATGTGGACACCTGCTCATCGAACATCTCATTCCAAAATCATGGGCATTAATATGGAGTTGGTTGCTATAACAGCCTCAAGCCTCTTCTGGGAAGGCTTTCCACTAGATGTTGTAACATTGCGGCGGGGTCTTGCTTCCATTCAGCCACAAGAGCATTAGTGAGGTCGAGCACTGATGTTGGGCGATTAGGCCTGGCTCGCAGTCAGCATTCCAATTCATCCCAAAGGTGTTCGATGGGGTTGAGGTCAGGGCTCTGTGCAGGCCACAAACCATTTCTGTATGGACCTCGCTTTGTGCATGGGGGCATTCTCATGCTGAAACAGGAAAGGGCCTTCCCAAAACTGTTGCCACAAAGTTGGAAGTACAGAATCGTCTAGAATGGGGCCTAGCACGAACCATGAACAACAGCCCCAGACCATTATTCCTCCTCCACCATACTTTACAGTTGGCACTATGCATTCGGGCAGGTAGCATTCTCCTGGCATCCGCCAAACCCAGATTCGTCCGTCGGACTGCCAGATAGTAAAGCGTGATTCATCACGCCAGATTCACCACGCTCCAGAGTCCAATGGCGGCAAGCTTTACACCACAATGCTTTGCATTGCGCATGGTGATCTTAGGCTTGTGTAAGGCTGTTCGGCCATGGAAACCCATTTCATGAAGCTCCCGACGAACAGTTATTGTGCTGACGTTGCTTCCAGAGGCAGTTTGAAACACAGTAGTGAGTGAGGATAGACGTACTTCAGCACTCAGCGGTCCTGTTCTGTGAGTTTGTGTGGCCTACCACTTTGCGGCTGAGCAGTTGTTGCTCCTAGACATTTCCACTTCACAATAACAAGACTTACAGTTGACCGGGGCAGCTCTAGCAGGGCAGAAATTTGACGAACTGATTTGTTGGAAAGGTGGAATCCTATGACGGGTCAACGTTGAAAGTCACTGAGCTCTTCAGTAAGTCCATTCTAATGCCAATGTTTGTCTATGGAGATTGCATGGCTGTGTGCTCGATTTTATACACCTGTCAGCAACGGGTGTGGCTGAAATAGTCAAATCCACTAATTTGAAGGGGTGTCCACATACTTTTGTATATATAGTCTATGAATAATAAAATCTATGGACAAATTAATCAAATCAATGGACCGCGATGATGAATATGTATGAGGAATATAAGTATGACTTTAACTGCCTCATTTACTGACAGGTACAAATGGAACCGTAAAAACTCATGGCATGCTTGGCCTAGGATTTCCTACCCCTTTTCACTCGCAGCATTTCCTACCCCTTTTCACTCGCAGCTCCCAACAAAAACAACATCCCACTTCCACCTCCCCAATCCCATAGAATTACATCGAATTGAAATATAATGTATCACTATGCCCAATCCCAATCGTCCGTCCTCACCTTGCAGTTTCCCATAAGCCACCAGGGATCTGCTGAAGGTGACCCCTCTGATGAAGGTGCCCAGGTAGGCGATGATCTTGGTGAGGTTGGCAGCCGGGTTGGTAGCAAAATGAGGGTACTTGATCCTGTACTCTGCCACGCAGGTCAGCACTGCAGCCAGACCCACCAGGCTGTGGAAGGAGGTCTGTGATCTGGATCTTCCTAGCGATACCCAACCCTGGGGGGGGGGGGGCAGAGGGGATGAGAACCGGACAACACATACAGAGACGTGCGCAAAGACACACACCCTAAGGACTGGTGGGAAACGGGCAGTCCTGAGGCACAGGTGTGGCTGATAAGGGCTGTTTGGGGGAAATTCCTTGTTTGTGAGTGCACCTCCGTCTATGTGTGTTTTGGTGTGTGTGTGTTCTTCTTGAAGCCCTGCAGACATGGACGGGGTTAATAGGAGCATCTGGAAAAGCAAACAGGCTAAGGTCTGAACGGATGGTTTAGTCTAGGTTCCAGCTTGATTCCAGGAAGAATTACCATGTAGATTGACCTGACTGGATCATGATTCAGACATGATGGTGACCATTACCTCAGCACTGCTGCAGTATGAGCAGTAAGCAGTTACTCATATGATTGAAGGAGACAACACATGTCGACTATAGTAAATAACATGTTGTTCAGATCATTCAAGCATGCAAATCCAACACACACACAGGAACAACTTCCTAATATTGAGTTGCACCCCCTTTTGCCTTCAGAACAGCCTCAATTCGTCGGGGCATGGACTCTACAAGGTGTCGAAAGCGTTCCACAGGGATGCTGGCCCATGTTGACTCCAATGCTTCCCACAGATGTGTCAAGTTGGCTGGTTGTCCTTTGGGTGGTGGACCATTCTTGATACACACGGGAAACTGTTGAGCGTGAAAAACCCAGCAGCGTTGCAGTTCTTGACACACTCAAACAGGTGTGCCTGGCACCTACTACCATACCCCGTTCAAAGGCACTTAAATAATTTGTCTTGCCCATTCACCCTCTGAATGGCACACATACACAATCCATGTCTCAATGGTCTCAAAGCTTAAAAATCCTTATTTATCCTGTCTCCTCCCCTTCATCTACACTGATTGAAGTGGATTTAACAAGTAACATCAATAAAAGATCATAGCTTTCACCTGGATTCACCTGCTCAGTCTATGTCATGATCAGTCTATGCCTAATGTTTTGTACACTCAAGCATATACACACTTACCAGCGGTGCCACCCACAGCCATGGCGGCACTCATCTGTGCCAGGAGTACAGGGGTGGGCTTCAGGAAGCCAAGGGTGGCAGCGATGCCCCCTGCCACACCCATCATGCCCAGGGCATTACCCAGGCGGGCATTGGACTGGTTGGACAGACCAGCCAGGGCTCCCACACAGCACATACCAGAGCCCAGGTACATCATCTACAGAGAGAGAGAGGGAGGGATAGACACACAGCAGTGGCTTAGACCTGGGCCATGTTCAGTAGGGCACACAGTGCCAAAAGGTTCACTATGCAGAAAATTAAAACCGGTTCTAAATTAAAAACCTGTTCTAAATTAAAAACCTGTTCTAAATTAAAAACCTGTTCTAAGTTCAGGTAATACATGCCCATTTCACTCTGCCTACTTAACACAACCGACTGAACACAACACCTGAGCCCACCTGATTGGTGGTACATAGTGTGAGGGTTAGGTGATGCTCACCTGTTTAATGTTGTAGCCAGCCTGCATGGCGACTCCATAGCCCCCCACAAACACCCCGGTGGGCAGTAGGTAAGAGTGGTTTTATTCTGGAGGGTCAGTGGGACACTTGAACATGTCCAGCATCTTTTTGGTGACCAGGAAACCACCTGAGAGAAAGAGAACAAAACCAGTCAAACTCAACCTGGTAGACAACGGTCTGCACAAACACTCTTGTTGGAATGCTTCAGGCATAACAGGGTGAAGACGGTCATATTTCAAATATTATTTATAGCGCCCTTATTTGATATTTGAGTAACACATTAAAAGTGTGCGCACAAAAGGTTCCTAAAGGCCAACTCAATGAATGTAGTAGCTGGGGGTTTTCTTGGTGGAATCTCTCCCCTGATATAACGACCAGACGGAACACTTCATTCTGCTGGGGCAGATCACGTTCCATTCCAAAAGAAACCTCTGGTTTCTCTACATCGCCACTCCACCGCCACACTCAGACAGGTTATCCAGTGGCTAACATCTGTCCACTTCAGCTGTACGGACTAATTTTATCCCAGCCCAGACCTCAATTACTTAAACATACCAACAATAAAAAAACAATTTCAGACTTGAGGCTCAGAGTCATTACATTCAGATTCAAGAATGCAAAGGGCGGGTATTGAAGAAAAGCATGCACAGGATTTTTCCGTGCTGCCACTATAAAAACACATGGAAATACAAAAGGCTTTGTGGCAAGAGCCAGAGGAAGAAAAAAACTATTCCTCGACCCGTTGTATAAGGAGCAGGTACTCTATACATGTCAGGGCTAGTTTATTGAAACTAAATTGGAGGGCAATTTTTTTGTGTAATCACTTGACAATATAAAAATTGTAGAAGAAGGGCTAGGAAACAACTGTTGGAATGTCAGTTTTTATGTTACTGAGGGTTTATGGGTGGTGCGGTAGACCACTAAGAAATGTTGCATGTGGAATGGCAACCAATAGGGACTTTCAATTGAAATTAAACACCTGCTCTTTAAAGAAAATAAATATATATATAAAGAGGTGCACTTTAAGCGCTCTGGAACACATGCACAAAGAGATCTGAGAGTCATAATAACTGGTTTTTACAGCAAATGGCTAAAATCTGCCAGAATGCCCCGGTAAGAGGGCTTTAAATCCCTGCCATGATCTTTGACCCTGCTCAGTGTTCTGGCCTGTCGGAGCGCCCTCGCACAGACTGGGACCTCTGGACCTCTGCAGCGTTTGCCTTTGAATGAGTGATTCAGCGGCTGTCTAGAACGATGCACCAAAGACTTTTCCGACACTACCATTAACGACATTCCCTCATTTCTTCTCAGCAGAGCTAGACTAAGCCTGGTTTATAGCATGGCCATGGTCCTTTTGAAGAACACTCAGTCATTTCCAGTTCAGGTGTGAAGTTCCTTATTTTTCACCTAAAGGGAGTTAAGGAAGGTCTGCTCTCACGAACAGGGTCCATGGACCAACTAACGGTCACGGCTGAGGAAGAGGGCACAGTGGAACAATAAGCAGTTTCTTAATAGATAGTCAAGTTAAATAAATGGCCCTAAAGGGGTCTGATATCCTCATATCTTACGTATTCTAAGATCTCATATACGGTCTCCAAAGGGGGTACAATGTTGAGGTAAGAGGAGCTCCGTTTGTCTGCTCCATTCACTATCTGTTGTCACAGTTACTGTTTAATCCAGAGAGTAGTGACACCAGTGATGTTGACTGAGGAGATGAAGGCAGCCGCGACAGCCAGCATCTCAGCAGTGGAGGAGGGGGTGTAGTCAACCCCCATGAGAGACAGACCGCCCACAGCCGTCAGACCTGGAATAAACACACACACAGTAAGCACAGCTTAGATCACATTACAGACATGTTTTTCAATTAGTCCCACATGTGTTGAACTGATGTCAAATGACAATGACAAAACACTGAAACATTATTGCTTCTCTACCCATTGCCCTGTCAGACAAACAAAGCTTTATTCCATTTGAAGTGCTGTATAGATAGGCATGTTCCTTACACATTGCTTCAGAGCACAGCAGCACTGCTTAATGAGGAAAATGTCAGAGCGCAGAGGGAATCCTGATAACCATCAGCCCTATAATGACTTACAAATGCAGCCTGCTGTACTGTAGTGAACAACACAACAACCGGCTGGTCAGACAGAGCCGACATGCTCACAGCCATGTGTTTATGCGTCTGACTGAATGAATGAGCTTTTCCTGGCTGTCCCGTTCTGGAACTCCACAGTAACAATTAGTCACAGAGACAGGCCAAGGTTTGAATTAAAAGGTAACCGCACGCTACCTCAGTGTCACATGAAATACCTACAGCAGACAATTAGGCTAGAAAAATCTACTCGCACACTGTCAAAAAGCGAGACATGCTGCTCACAATATTCTAGACACCAGGTGAACTTTGAAACCTTAATGCCATCAGATCCCCGCCTGAAGTTTCCCTCCCTTGAAAGGAGGGTGAGTTACTCCACCCTGAATATGAGGTTACATTTGAAAAACAAGGGCGTCATACTCAGGCCATAGAGATCACAGGCATACCTGACCAAATAGACACCAATACCACCTACCTACCGCTGACTTATCAAGACAGCTCTTAGATAGTCAGCCAGTCAGGTCTATATTGATCACAGTCATCCCAGAAGCGTCTGTTCGTCACATCCCACTCAGGGCTGACTTCAGAAGGGAAAGACTTTAGCTAATTGTGACTCAATAGTTTCAGGTAGATTAAAGAGTTGTCATGAGGATGGTGCCAGCCATTGGGCAAAACCATGGGTTCCCCATCAAAAGTAACCTAACGCTCCAGACAGAGATTGACACAGACTTCTCTCTCCCTCTTAAGAATTTGAAATTCCAATATACTTCACTAACGTCTTGGGCTCGAACAGCTCTTTTAGCTTTATTACATTTGGCACATCAATAACAATAACTCCAATGGTTTCAATGTTTCCACTTCTTTGCATGACCAAAATAAAAGGCATGGTTTAGGTAATGCCAAATATGTGGGGAACACACCTAAGAGACAATGCATGAGCAGAGAGACTGAGAATGACTAGGGTGGTGCGGGGACCGGGGTATGTATAGTGTGGACTAATAAAGTGGTTGACAGGAACTGTGCAGTAGGTCTAGGGAGATAATTGCTCCATTGGATGCCACCACCATGCCTCTTCTGAAGTTAGCGTCTGGGGCGACATGAAGGGGGCTTTAATGTTGGACCACCATGGGTTCATTAAGACATTCAAGCCTTTTCTGGTTCCTGGACCCAGACCCTTGTCCTGACTGCACTGCCCTATCGCCGCCGGGAGGAACAAGGAAAAGCTTAATGAGGCACATCCCCCCGAAAGCAGTAGATATCACAGCCAGCTTGTCACTTCCGCTTGTGTCAAGAGTAATCAACATGCTGCGAACACACACACACCGTCTATAACACTTCCTGCTTATGAAGTAGATGTGGAGGGTGGGAAAGGGGTCAAGGGGCAACTAATAATGATCAGGAACTATTCATTTGCAATGAAACCAGCAGGCAAATGAATGTCTTCTGCAACTAGGACAAATTTCCTCTCGCCACTATCCAAAACATTGAGTTACAATTTTAACAGCCAAATAATCAGTTTCTCATTTATTTGCAGAATAAATATTCAATGATAATAAATCTATTAGCCTATATTCTCCTGTATTCACAGAGAGGTACCTGAGACCTATGCTTCTAGTTGCTTGAAGCGGATCTACACTCTGGAGTAGTACTTTAAATCACACAGACTACAAGGACCATTAATCATATCCTGTTCCCTCCAGGTCCTACTCATCACTGAGAGGAGAGCACCTGCAGGTGTGGAGGTGGAGGGAGAATCAACCGCCAGTTCTGTGAAAGAATCTCCTCTGTACAGTTACAGCAATGCCTTTTAGAGACTAGTAAATCAAATGAATAACATCTGGGTTTTAAAATGTGATTCATTCTCATTTGAAACCAAATCCTAAGTGATGCATCTTAGGCCTAGATGCATTTTCTTCGGTAGGTTTACCTCCATATATATAAATACATTCCTGAATATACTACATTACAAAATAATGATGTGCCTTTGTTTAGTCTTCTGTATCCATTTCATTAAGATGAGTCTTCATAAACACGCACCAGAGATGGCGTTGGTGATGGGGAAACGTGTGAACGGGGTTTACAGGCCTGCCGTCTCTAGTCTCCACTACCAGAACAGGGGTCTGTGGGAAACAGCTACAGCACCACCTCAGACAGACACAGCAGGGGGAGGGAGGGCTCGTCATCTCACATTTTATTATTCCCAGTTTCCTGGCACTAAGGGGCTGCTGGTGGTTTGGGGGGGGGGGGGGGGGGGCAGGTTAGGTTCTAATTAGGTGACCAATCCTCATTTCAAAGGGGCTCTCAGCCATTCTGCCTTTCTGGCCTCTCGCATGGCTGATCCGGTGGTCAGGAAATCAAGATGTTCCAGCAGCACCTTCCTTCCGTGGCTTCAGAGGGGAGAGACAGAGATACGGAGCAAACTAACTCATGAAAGGACAGAAAGATGAATGTGCCTGTTTGTTTATCTCAGGTTGTTTATTTACGTGTGAACCCAGTTTGTGGCTCATTTGTCTGAATGTTGGGGAAGAAGGCCATGTTCTCTGGGTCTCTTTGATCTGATTCCAGAACAGAACAGAGCAGACAGTTACTGCCTGCCTCCTCTCTCTCACAGACTAACCTCTGAGCCTCCGCCTGTAACCAATAGAAATAATCTGCACCAATTTCTGTTCAGGGAGGCGTTTATGTCTAATCACGGCTGGTGCTGCTCTCAGAATGGGGTCACAGCTCACCTTTCCCAGATTAGTCAGCTATGCGGATGACTTGCGAGTGTTAGTAGAGAATAGAACAATGTAATGAATGTGAAAGGTAATAAAACACTAACAGGCTGCTTTTAACCCCCCACGATAGTCCTGTTAACCCAGGTCAGGGTGAGCGAGAGAAAGAGAGAGAGGGAGACCACCATACGAGCTCACAGAGACTTATGACACGGCTCGGTTTAGGAGGCCATTATCCTGACAGCCAGCAGTGTTGCTCTGGATCCTCTGCTTTCTGCTGTGTCAACCATTTTATTCCCCTTACATTATAAATAAGTAAACAACTGACTTAGATCGGGGTGGTGTTCATTAGGGCACACCGTAGCAAAACGTTGTGCAACAGAACATTTAAATTAGCATTTCTTATTTAAGTCCAGTTAGTTTCTAATCATTTTACTACGTTTTCTTCCATTTGGTACCTACTGAAAATGACCCTGGAAGGCAAGGTAAGTATAAATGAATGAAGTGTCTAGGCAGTCAGTGTTGGTGTGTCTCACCTCCAGTGTACATGCCAGCGGTGGTCAGGGTAGCCTTGAAGGGGGACACGGCAGCAGCCTTCTCCTTGGCCAGCTCATGCATGCTCTTGACCACTGGGATGTTATCGAGCAGAGGAGCTGGGAAGAGGTTGGTTCCATTCTGCAACAGATAGAGAGGAGAACATTGTTAGACCTACCAACAATGCAAACAAACAGCCTATGGGTTCAAAAAAACATTTTACCTAAATCTTCCAAAACATATTACCATAACCAAACATTCAGACCCATTTCATTTGCCAACTGCAGAGGTAGAGCAAGTCAATTCATCATAGATTCCCTGATTAACCAGTCTTCCCTCGTTGTGCTAAAAACAGATGCAACCTAACCCAGCTGCTTCACATCACCTGCATGACAACAGATGATCTGCTCCTTGACCTCATAGTGGAAGTTCTCAGTGGAAGGGCTGATTGCACGGATGAGTTTGGTCAGGTTGTTGGAGTACAGGGTGCTGGACTGGATGGGCAGGTGGCTGGGCAGGTCAGTGAAGCCTATGTGGGTCACACCCTAAAAATAACAGAAGCAGCTATTTTATTGAAAGACAAATTGTGCATTCTTCTCTTTTCAACCTTTTGGAAAAGGACTAATTTACACAATTTGAGTAGGTAACCTTGTGGTACCAGGTCTAGGCAGTCAAAATGATACAGACATAAGTAGGTTCACCACAGTGTCAAAAGAGAATCAAATGATGAGATTTAAGATGAGAATAATAACAGATTGTCTTGACTGACCTTGTGTACAGACAGTTCTCCATGTTTCCTCCAGCCTCAGCAGTCAGGTCCACCACCACTGAGCCATCCTTCATGCTCTCCACCATGTCCTTGGTGATCAGGATGGGAGCCTTGCTACCTGAGGACACAGCACCATGGTCAGAGAGGTCAAAACCATGTTCAATAAGCTTGTTGTCTGCAGTACCAGCAGGGTGCTCAATCAGCACAGCAGTTGATCTCTTTTTAGTCAGCATTTTGTACAACAATGTCTTAAAGTCTAGATTTAAAGACAATTAATCAAACCCTGGCAAATAAACAGATTGCAATTTGTTGTTCTCGGTTTACGCTAGGCACTGTTTTCGGGTCCCTTCTGAAGTTTACACTAGCTTCAAAGTAAACTGATGTGATGAGAATACAGAGAAACTCTTCCAAGGTCAAGTTGAACTGGTCAGAATATGACACAGCAGTACTGATCAGGCTAGGGTAGGCTTGTGTAGACCAGACCAAAAGAGTCAGTCTCTCCACCAATGTTGTGTTCGAGACCACCTAAAGCGAGACCGATTCAAGACCAAGACCGGATGGGGGGAGGGGGGGGCGAGACTGAGTCAAGACCGAGATCGGGAGGGAGACCAGAAAAATGCGACTCCAATTCAAGACCATGATTGTAATTTTGTCAAATCGCCACCATAATAAGAGTTCAACATGTCCAGTATTTCTGTGTTCATACTTCAGAAGAACATATGGATTCTTTAGACATTCAGAATGGTGAAAAAAGGCATGCTGAAGGCAAATAGAGCCACTCTACAAATGATTACTAACCCAAACACAGTGGGGAACAATGAGGGCCTTCTATGCTTTCAGAGTAAGGCTAAGGATTTATAAAATGATGTTCTGATTTAATCTCTTCAGTTTTTGTTAGAAAGGCAAGGGATAACACTGAAGAGAAAAAAAATCAAAATCAGGATTTTTCTTTGGTGGTCTCTGGGGAGATAAATCTAGCTAGCTAAGTCAGCCATTGGCTAGGCCATCATACTCTTGATAGAAGGCATCTGCCAATCAATTGTATTAGGGCAACATTTTGGAGTGACAGTGGAATCAACCAATCACATTGACTTGTACTGGGTGGGACCATTTTTACAAAAACGTATGGAAACTTCTGCCTTCTCTAAGGCCAACAGGTCACTGTGCAATAGCGAGCAGTAGTTTTCCCACGGTCTAGCTAGCTGTAGCAGGTGCTATCGAAGAGGATGTTGTTGTTAATTTGTTAGCTTGTCCCTTTTCAATAATAACTTTAAACAAGAAGTTAAGTTTCAAATTATCATCATCTGGTGAGTGGAAATGTGGGGGGGGGGGGGAGGGTTCAGCTTGCATGCTGTTAGCCATCTCTTTGAAAATAACTTGTGTGTGAAACATTGTTGCATTTAAGCTTTACATCACGGTTACCTCGTGTGCTACTGTAAATGTGAAATGTTTTTTGGAATGGGAAGTAATAGTTGTACATTTCAATTGGGAAATGCTTAGCCTAATGGTTGTGTTCTTGTATTCTTATGATTGGGACCTACTGGCTTATTTTGTCAGAGTGAATGGACTGCTTGTCCTTTAACATCATGCTGTGTGTGACTGCTGTCTTTCCATAGGCCCTATGCAGTGGAGCCTGGAGAAGTGGGTCCTGTGTGAAGGAAAGGCGCCCTGTGTGAAAAATCATATGTTTTCCAATAGATTTGTCAGATTTTCGCTCTCAAAATCACACCTTTTTTTTAACGACAAAAATCTGATGTTCTAAGTCCACAACAATCCTTAAACCACTTTAGGAGCCCATTTTTTAGGTCTGGGAAAAATTGAAAAAATATATATTTTGGAGGGTGTAGTTGCCCTTTAATTCAATTGAGCAAAACAAATGCCCTCCCCATTGATCAAAATCAGCATGATATATTTCTCTCTGGCAGGCCTACATTGTGGTCAATATTTAATTGGGAAGGTTTTTTGGGAAAGCCTTTAGAAATGTTCATGCAAACAGTGCATGATGACTGAAATGTGCGTCGCAAATAGCCTACTAACCAAGACTACATACTGAACTTTTTCTATACCTGGTTTGCATACATTTGACATTTTAGTCATTTAGCAGACGCTCTTATCCAGAGTGACATACAGTTAGTGAGTGCATACATTTTCATACTGGCCCCCCGTGGGAAACGAACCCACAACCCTGGCGTTGCAAGCGCCATGCTCTACCAACTGAGCTACAGGGGACCTACCCATTGTTGCCTTAGTTAGCATTTACTGGTAGATATAAGTTGAAACATCTTTCCTACCGATGTCATTCTTCTGTGAGCTGCTCCATGCGACAACCAGTTGAGAGTGCGCTGGTATTACGGTTGCTGTCGTTTCAGCATCACAAGCCTGTAACACATAGGCTCAGCATTGTGCAAACGTCTATAATAGATGGAAATACTGCTACAATTTCCCCCCATCTCCCCCTACTAATAGTGAGCGTGCAACCTTCCAAAAATCTCCCCGACTCTTCCCTACCAGCAAGTCAAGGAAATTCTGACAAAGTTTTAGGATATCTTTACGAGTAAAGTAGGGATCCCAGGTTTCAATAGGCAATCATTTTTTTTGCGCTGAATGATTGGAAGCTTATGAGTTTTTTACTCCTCTGGTCTCAGCAAGAAATTACGAGTCCTCACTGTCCGAGACTGAGTCAATATTGAGTAACAATGTATCTGACGCAGAGACAAGACCGAGACACTCAATATGTGGTCTTGAGACTGGACTCGAGACCAAGACTACATCACTGCTCTCCACCCAACAGGACCTGTAGTGCTAGTATAGGGAACAGGACAACATGTCCTAGACATGGGACCACTACACAACATCAATGACTTTGGCACCAGTTCAACCACATGCCATGTCAGTGGAGAGGAAAATGTAATTCACAACTACGGCTGCATATCTTATCAAGGCCGTCTACCAATGTAAACAAGGGATGAGAATATAGTGTCTTCAGAAAGTATTCACACCCCTTGACTTTTTCCACATTTTGTTGTGTTACAAAGTGGGATTAAAATTGATTTAATTGTCATTTTCTGTCAACTATCTACACACAAAAAGGTGTAATGGGTTTGCACTCAGAAATATGTCGCATAAAGCTTACTTCATTATTCAACTCTTTAAATTATTTTCACTGCATCAGGGATAGTGTACACAGACGTTTCGGCTTTACAGCCTTCTTCAGTGTGTAGGTAACATTTTCTTTTAATTCAAAACAGTATTTGTAAAGAACAACCGATGAGCAGCAGGGTTGCCACTCAGGGTTGCCACTCATCTGCCAATCAGGGATGTGGCTTTTCTGGTCTACCTGTATACAAATTAGTCACAAACAAATATAGAATTGTAGGGTATGGGAGCAGGAGCGGGCACGAAGGGCAACTCACAAATCAACCGCCCCAGGTGTCCGCTCACCTAAATACATTATATCAATTCATGAGATAGCCCACCACAAATCATTTTTGTCTGTCTGAATTTGCGGGTTTTACGCATCAGCCAAGCTTCTGGGAGAGCGCGATGGTTCTCTTTTGATTAGTCAACAATCTACATAAAATACTCTAATGTCAAAGCGGAAAATTTTTTCTAACATTTGTAAAACATTAATGAAAAATAAACAATAACATATCTTGATTAGATAACTATTCAACACCGAGTCAATACATGTTAGATTCACCTTTGGCAGCGATTAAAACTGTGAGTCTTCCTGGGTAAGTCTCTAGGAGCTTTCCACACCTGGAATGTGCAACATTTGCCCATTATTCTTTTCAACATTCTTCATGCTCTGTCGAATTGGTTGTTGATAACTGCTAGATTTTCAGGTCTTGCCATAGATTTTCAAGCAGATTTAAGTCAAAACTGTAACTCGGCTAGTCAGGAACATTCACTGTCTTCTTGGTAAGCAACTCCAGTGTAGATTTAGCCTTGTGTTTTAGGTTATTGTCCTTCTGAAAGGTGAATTCATCATCTCCCAGTATCTGGTGGAAAGCAGACTGAACCAGGTTTTCCTCTAGGATTTTGCCTGTGCTTAGCTCCATTCAGTTAGTTTCTTACCCTGAAAAACTCCCCAGTACTTAAGGATTGCAAGCATACCAATAACATGATGTAGCCAATATGCTTGGAAATATGGAGAGTGGTACTCAGTAATATGTTGTATTTGCCCCAAACATAAAACTTTGTATTCCGGAAAATAACGTAATTGCTTTGCCACATTTTTTGCAGTATTACCTTAGTTCCTTGTTGCAAACAGGATGCATGTTTTTGAATATTTGTTTTCTGTACAGGCTTCCTTATTTTCACTCTGTCAATTAGGTTAATATTGTGGAGTAACTAAGTTGTTGTTGATCCATCCTCAGTTTTCTCCTATCACAGCCATTAAACTCTGTAACTGTTTTAAAGTCACCATTGGTTCATAGTGAAATCTGTGAGTGGTTTCCTTCCTCTCCGGCAACTGAGTTAGGAAGGATGCCTGTATCTTTTTAGTAGCTGGGTGTATTGATACACCATCCAAAGTGTAATTAATAACTTCACCATGCTCAAAGGGATATTCAATGTCTGTTTTGTTTTTTTACCAATAGGTGCCCTTCTTTGCAAGGCATTGGAAAACCTCCCTGGTCTTTGTGGTTGAATCCGTGTTTGAAATTCACTGCTCGACTGAAGGACCTTACAGATAATTGTATGTGTGGGGTACAGGGATGAGGTAGTCATTCAAAAATCATGTTAAACACTATTATTAGTCCATGCAACTTATTATGTGACTTGTTAAGCACATCTTTGCTCCTGAACTTATTTAGGCTTGCCATAACAAAGGGGTTGAATAGTTATTGACTTCTAATTGTTAATTAATTTGTTAAATAAAATTGAAATACATAATTCCATTTTGACATTATGGGATGTTGTGTGTAGGCCAGTGAGAAAAAAATCTAAATTTTATCAATTTTAAATTCAGGCTGTAACCAAAAAATTTGGAAAAAGTCAAGGGTGTGAATACTTTCTGAAGGCAGAGCATAGCAATATATCTATGGTGTCTTTATGGTCTGTTATAGGCTGCTACAGGAAGGGAATAATACCAACTCAGCCTTGAGGGGCAGGGTTAACCAGATGGATAGGGCCTAACCACAACCTTAACTACACTAGGTAACTGAGCTGATGAAGCCTTAAAGCAGTTTAGAGCCTGAGAGGATTAGACAGATAAGAGCTGATGATAGCAGTACATGCACTTCATACATGATTGAGGAAGAACAAAGGAGGGATGACAACAGACTGGTTGCCAGTCTTTCTGCTCTCTTGCCAACTCCTTATGGCTTGACGATGACAATGGAGTAGGCCAGAACACAAACAGATCAGACTAGGAGGACAGCAGTGCAGAGGAACATGTAAAGGGAATGTAATGCAGGTAGAAGAGGACAAAGAGATAGATACAGATTTGTCTCTATGGGAGGGGATAGGGGTAGTGAGGTGTGTGGTTGGTGGTCACTGTGCATACCAGGGATGAGTGCTGTGCTGATGAGGATGTCTACTTCCAGACATTGCTTGGCAAACAGCTTCATTTCAGCCTTGATGAACTCCTTGGACATCTCCTTGGCGTAGCCGCCCTGGCCGTCACCGGCCTCCTTAATGTCCACCTCCAGAGTCTCAGCTCCCAGAGACTTGAACTGCTCTAGGGCCGCCGCTCTGGGGAGGGGCACAGTGGACGTCATGGGGGCACTGGCAGTAGAGTGGGGGCACTTATTGAAAGCCCCTGATACATTCTACAGCATCACTGCAGGAGCTTAGGCTATATATATGATTGTTTTAAGATATCCAAGTAGTAGACAATTTGTTACACAATGGTTGGGCTGGTGAGATTTAAATCTTTGAATCTGGAGAGAAAAAAATGAAGAAACAGTGCTTTGTCCCATTATCCCATCCTTTGAATTAAGTGGAAGGAATCTACAGTTCTCTAAAGGACATTTGCTTCAAATTCTCAATGCAATTGCTGCCACCAACTGGAGAATTAGCAACATCACACTTTCAAATCTCATTAAAGGATTGGTTCACAATTTTGATGTAAATGGGATGTTATAGAAGGGATTTCACTTAGTTTTGAGAAACTTAGACCACCTGCAATAGACTTCCTCATTGCTCGTTATGCAGTATGGGAGCTACAGACAAACTTGAACAAATATGTCATTTTAGAAATGGCAAAGCTCTCAGTATAGTGATGCAGGTCTTTAGATGTTGTGCAAATGAAATTGTGTAATTCTGAACTTTATCTGCAACGTTACATTCCATTTTGTGCGACTCAAGTGGTTTCTCCAACCAGCTGTGCTGCACAGCATACACAGAAAACAAGCACAGCTGGTAGGGGAAACCGCTAGAGTCGCACAAAATGGAATATAACATTGCGGAATTACACAATTTCATGTGTACAACATCTAAAGACCTGCATCTCTATACTGAGAGCGTTGCCGTTTCTAAAAGGACGTATTTAAGTGTTTTTGGAGCCTTTGTTTATGTTTTTATATAGCCCCCATACTGCAGAATGAACAATGAGGAAGTTGCGAGTGGGGTAAGTTTTTAAAAAACAAGTGAAATCGATAAAAAAGTGTCTGGACCCTTCTATATCATGCCATCTACATCAAAAATAGAGATTTTGCACACAAAAAAAGTTAACCAATCCTTTAAAGACAGCAGCCAATCTGGGGTAGGGTAGTTGAAATAAAAGCGATGGTGCAAACATCTGTGGTCGGAAATCATTTGTAACATTTTAGAGTTAAAGAAGTCCCAATAAAACAAATAATAATAATAATAATATATGCCGTATGGGTGGTCCCGGGGATCGAACCCACTTCCCTGGCGTTACAAGCACCATGCTCTACCAATTGAGCTACAGAGGACCAGTGCAGCTCTATAATGTGACGAATCCTAATGAGTTCATTGGTAAAGTAATGGCTGAATATGCAGGGTATGGTGGTCCCACTCACCGGGTGTCGAAGGCCCTGACGATAGCACCCATGGCTCTGGCAGTACCGGCAGCAGCCAGACCTGCTACTCCTCCTCCAATGATCAGCACCTTAGCAGGTTGAACCTTCCCAGCAGCAGTGATCTGTCCAGTGAAGAAGCGCCCGAAGCTGTTGGCTGCCAGCACCACAGCTTTGTATCTGAAAACACAGAGACAGAGAATGGTCAATTACAAATACTGGCAGGGCACTTCTACCCGGCCCAGCCTCAAGATAGCATGTGTGTTTACATTGCCAAGTGGACCACACACACACACAGCAGAGCCAAGAGAGACAGTTTTACTTGTCAGCATGACATTAAGTGGCTGGACAGATGCATTCTACAAGCAAATGTTTGTTCTACTTAAAGGAGGAGTTTTTGCAGCTGTTTCAGTACAGCACTACAGGGAGAGAGGGGGAGAGGGCAAACTCCACTGAACTAGTTTTAATGTATGGAATCACTTGGTTTCCGGATTTTGGGTAAACTTCTCCTTTAATGACATGACAACTCTGTCATTAAAATTGAAGAAAAATAAAATCCCTCAGACACATTCATTCTAGTTGCATTTGAAATTACTTTAAAGCACACATAAGCAGACCAGTGAGTGACCCAGCCCAGAGAGTTTTCCCCTCTCACACTACCCATCCCGTCCCATGTCCTGCTCTGTCCTCACCCTGCGATGTTAGCCATGGAGCTGAGAGTGTCGTAGCCCTGTGAGATGGTGACGCGGGGCACCTGGTCCATGGCCAGCACGGTGGCCTTCCTCTGGGACAGCATGTCCATCAGCTCAGGGTTCTGGGCTGGGTAGATCACTCTAATAATGTTTATATATTTTTGCTTTACTCATCTCACATGTATATACTGTATTCTATTCTACTGTATTTTAGTCTATTCCACTCCGACATTGCTCATCCTAATATTTATAAATTCCTTAATTCCATTATTTTACTTTTAGGTTGTGTGTATTGTGTGTATTGTTGTGAATTGTTAGATATACTGCACTGTTGGAGCTAGAAACACAAGCATTTCGCTACACCCGCAATAACATCCTTTGATGGCTACTGGCACGATGGAGAAGTGTGCAATACATGTGTATGTGACAAATACAATTTTATTTTATTTGTTGACAATGACGACATCAGCAAGCCGCTCGCCCACACGCCTGCCATCTGCCTGGTACAGTTGAAACCAGGATTCATCCGTGAAGAGCACACTTCTCCATCGTGCCAGTAGCCATCAAAGGTGAGCATTTTCCCACTGAAGTCTGTTACGACGCCGAACTGTAATCAGGTCAAGACCCTGGTGAGGACGACGAGCACGCAGATGAGCTTCCCTGAGACGGTTTCTGACAGTTTGTGCAGAAATTCTTAGGTTGTGCAAAACTACAGTTTCATCAGCTGTCCGGGTGGCTGGTCTCAGATGATCCGGATGTTGAGGTTCTGGGCTGACGTGGTTACACATGGTCTGTGGTTGTGAGGCTGGTTGGACATACTGCCACATTTTCTAAAACAACGTTGGAGGCCACTTATGGTAGATAAATGAACATTCAATTATCTGGCAACAGCTCTGGTGGACATTCCTGCAATCAGCATGCCAATTTCACACACCCTTAAAACTTGAGACATCTGTGGCATTGTGTTGTGTGACAAAACTACACATTTTACAGTTACCTTTTATTGTCCCCAGCACAAGGTGCACCTGTGTAATGATAATGCTGTTTAATCAGCTTCTTGATATGCCACACCTGTCAGGTAGATGGATTACCTTGGCAAAGGAGACATGCTCACTAACAGGGATGTAAACAAATTTGTGCACAGAATGAGAGAAATAAGCGTTGTTTTTTCGGTATGGAACATTTCTGGGATCTTTTATTTCAGCTCATGAAACAGGGCACCAACACCTTACATGTTGCATTAATAATTTTGTTCAGTGTAACTTAACAAGTTGTTTATTTTGCTCTTCACTCATTTAGTAGCCTACTCCCGACCAAAAGCCTGTGACTTGTCTGATGATCAATCAATGTGATTTTGTTTCACTGAATCTATGTCTGTAGGACTCTATTTGGTTAATTGGTCTCTGGCTGGGCAAAGTGGTGGAAGCTCATGTGTTCAATCACTGATCAGAAACATTTGGCATGCAATAATGTAGCCTAAATCAAGTGTAGGCAACTCCAAAAGCCTGGTTGTGAAATCTGAACACAAGACACATGATTTTGAAAATATATATTGCTATTATTTTTTATCAGTAGGCTATGATGAAGGTACTCCTAATTTAAAAGGAATGGTTCACCCATTTTACATGTATATTGTTTTTGTGCATCTCTGAGTGATGTTCTATCGATTCCCTGGGTCATTTCATGTTTTCACGTGCAGTGGCGGCTCCTGAAAAAATTCTCAGGGGGGACAATTTTTCTGATGATTTAGGTGACCTACACACATTTTTAAAAAGATATGTCCAGCAACAACATGAAGACAGGGGCAGCATATAAGTCAATGCCAGAAGCATTTATTGACTGATCTCAAAAGTGTTGGCTTACAAAAGCAAAATAAGTTATCACAGTAAAAATAATCAAGGGTGTTCTTTCACATTCCTCAACACTGCATAAACAATATGCATTTCCATAAACAAATGAAATATCAGCTGAAAATACAGCATTTTGGTATTTGTTCAGATTGCAGGATCAACAAGAGCTTTTACCACATTTTTTGCCTCATGGTTGAATTGGAAATATGTGCACCTGAGCATAATTCACAACAAGCAAGCAGGAGCTTTTGATAGAGGCTACTGAAAACATTGATGCAAGTTATTGGTAATAATAAATTTTTATAGACTTCCATATTCTGCCCTCTTGTATAGATTTGTGAAAATGAACAGTGATAGACATTTTGCCTGAAAACAGAATTTGAAAATAATTTCTAGAAAAGGTAAACACAGCTATCTGTATGGCTTTGTAAAAATGAACAACCATATTCTGGCCAATTGTATAGATTTGTAAATATGAACAACCATATTCTGGCCAATTGTATAGATTTGTAAAAATGAACATGAACAGATTATTTTATTTTTTTTACTTTTTTTTAAATGAAAAATAACTATTTTAAACAACATCAACTGTGAACTGATTTGGGCGTGTGTGTGTTACAGAGACAGACAGGGAGGGACAAAGAGAGAGAGAGGCTACATTACTTGTACTGAAACTGTTCTTCTCTCTTTCAATGCAGAAAAGCGGTCAATGACTTTCTCATTGAAATCAGGCATGCTGAGGACTAGTTCCCTCTCCATGGAAAGCATGGCCAGTGCATTCAGACGTTCCTGGCCCATTGAATTTCGCAGGAATGTCTTAACTCGTGTCAAAGTTGAGAAACATCTCTCAGCTTCAGCTGTTGTCATGGGAATAGTTATGAGGATGTTCAACAGAGTCACAGTCTCAGAGAACGTCTCCTGGAGGTTGTAGCTCATGAGAACCTGGTACAGTGCCAGTGCACCACAGTTTGACTTTCTCGTCGTCGGCAAAAAGACCGTTCAGTCTCTCCAAAAGCACACTGGCGATTGAGACTGAGGTTGATTCCGAGATGGGAAGGAACTCAAAAAAGCGCTCCTGCACTTTGTGGTTGCTATCTATGTACCTCAGCACAAGCACCAGCTGTGTCTGTGTAGAACGTCCGTGGTCTCGTCAGCTTGGATAGCTACGAAGTTCGCTGACTTCACCTCCTCCACAATATGTTCCCTCATGACCGCTAGCATACACTCCAGTAGCTCGTTTTGAATGGTCTTTGATGTGAACTTCTTTCAAAGAGACAATCGAGTTGCACTGAACGCTAGCCATCTTGAGTGAGAGAGTAGTACGTGAATTGATTGACGCTGCTACCCGCTCTTTTCTTAGTTACGTTCATGGTTATGTTACGTATGACGAAAGCGCGTAAGTGCAAGCCCTCAGAAACCCATAGAGATTGTATTGAAAGCTCTGATATTTGAAAAAAAAAGATTTTACATTACAGTCTATGAGAGACTTCTGGGGCGATTTTCAACCTGACTGAAATCGCCCCAAAAGGGGCGGGGCCATTTGAAGCACGACTTTAGCCTGATTGGACATTTAGTGGCAGATCAGACGTCTAGATTAGAACACTGATAACTACTGTTGCCGTGATATAATTGATTAGAAAAAAAATCCCTTCCTTTTCCCGTTTGGCAGTGCGTCGCCCATATCGCCCTAATGAACACACCGCCCCTGTTCACGTGTATCTGAGTTATTGGCGGTCAAGCAGGCAGAAATCCGGCCGGTGTGACGTAGCACTGTGATAAAGTCGCTCTCACTACACTGGAAGTTAATAAGAATACAACTTATAGATCACGAAAATGTCTATCATACATGTCAGATTACAATAGTGGCCTAATGTCATAACTCGGGAGGATGTCTTCTCTCAAATGAGCCATTGATCATATTTTTGCGATATTCCTGCCTCGAGAAATGTGTAATTTAACAGGGGGTCTAGCATATTTTTCCTATTTGTCTGCCTCTTTAGTCCATGGTGCATTGTATGGTGCCATTGCCAGAGACATTATAGAAAGGAGATAGGAATCCAATGAATGAAGGAATATATAACTCCCCACACAGCAGATTGTTGACCAATCACATTCAAGTTGTGAGGCTGCGTCAGGCGGTTGCTAAGCTAATCGTCAAGGTCATATGTCGAGAAACGTGCCTATTTTCCTCGAAAGTACGGAATGTCACGATTCCAAAGCTATAAGATATTACAGATAGCAGGTTAATTATCTCAGATCTCTGAAAATATTTGTAATGTTGAACTTCTTGTTGACGAAATTCGTGCTAATGTTGTGTTTTTGAGCTAGCGCTCAATAGATTCCCATTCACTCCTTGAAGGAGAGCGCTCCTTGTCCCAGAATCACACAGAATGCACTGCCTGGCCAATTTACGTAGCATGGTCAACGTTTCCCATCCCCTTAAAAGTATATCAGCCATGCGAATGTCAGACTCCACTATGTGAGGCACATCGACCTACAGGTTGCTCCCTAACATAGCAGAGTAAGGGTATAGAAAAAAATATGAAATCATCGCAGGTGTTCATCCAGGTCAGCGGTTCCACACGTTCACTTGACACTTAAATTGCAGAGCTGCCAACTCTCACGCTTTCGCCGTGTGACACACGTTTTTGACTGTTTTCACATGCACTCACGCCACACATCCAATTTCTCACGCAAAAAAAATTGGCCGAGACTCGTTCGTTTTTTCAAACTACCCGACGGTAGATGGCGCTGATGAGCGCCACTGAACCATATGCGCTGCACCCCGAAGTTAGCGACAGAAGAAGAGATCCCATTGCCGCGAAAGACAACATGAGAAGAAACGGTCACTACCTCAAGAAGTCTGATAAGAAGCTGAGCTGAGACTAGGTATGTATCTTGAAAGAAATTATTTGTTTGTGCGTGTGAACATGATTTAGTGTGGTGAATGTAAACTCAGCTGATTTCGAACAGGTAAGATGTATTCCAAAGAATTTAACATAAATACAGGAAATGTGTGCAATAGAAGTAGGTATGTTTTTGTAACTGAGAGTAGAGTTATTAAACCAACATGACCATTTGAATTGTTTAAGGTTTCAAAGATGTCCCGTAAGAGACCTTTGCCAGGACAAAAGCAAAACCTTTTATTTTATTTAAAGAACCAGCCAAGTGAGAAAAGTCAGACAAACACACTGACAGAACAGCCAGAACGATTGGTAGAA